TTATAGTATTACTATAGCATTTCACCTGAGCATTGCGAATCATGCGTATGGCCATGATAAGCGCTGAATGAATGACAGGCTTTCTGCTGTAACATCGCGCAAGGTAAATAAGGGTGACATCTAGTGGAGAAGACTAATGATAAGATTCACGTTAATCATATCTTGTTTTAAATAAATCCCGGAAAAGATCGATTCGCGGCTTTTGAGAATTGATATCGAATCGATGTCATTTTTAAAAAACGATTAATCGAAAAATCGATTTTTTTTGCCCAGCCCTAGTGAAATAATTAAATTACTGTGTATAACATCAGTATTTTAGAACTGCAGAATACACACACGCACACACAAATATTTGCATTTATCTCGAAAAAAGCTCATTTGTTCCAGATTTGAATACTAGGCTATGTGATAGGAAATGTTTATTATACGTTATAATGAACTGCCAGAGATTGTGGTGCATGTGAATTGACTCTTTGAAATATCATCGTTTATGTGTCATGTGAAAAACCCATATATATATATATATATACAGGGTGCGATTTGTGAAAAAAAGCAGAGGGAGGGATGATTTTGAAAACTTTTTTTTTTCACTATTTAACGTGATCGCAATTTAATAAAAACATTAGGCAGATTAATTATGTAATTTCAGCGGTTATCCAAACAACTAATAAATTATATAGGAAAGTGAGCAAAGAACATTTACAGTATCAACGGAGCTTTTTGAAACTCTGAATCAGTTAAACCATTGCGTCGCAAAATGATTCACTTCTTCGAAGTGCTCCAATCTGATCGCGTATCGCGAATCATTTGATTCAGATCTGGAGTTTGGTGCTGTTCGCGGGATGTTTTTTATCCCCACCGGAGATAAAAATAATTCAGCAGAGGCAGGAATGCGTACATTTTCTCACAAAACGTCTCTAGAAACCTCAAATAGCGTATTAAGTATATTTTAAAGAAAATCTAGTTCCTACATTATTTTTCTATGCATTGACTCAATGGGTCTCTAACCTGCAATATGCACTTTAAAAGTCAGGTGGATTAAACTGTTGGTGGTTTGCTACTGTATCTTTAAGACTTGTATCTGCAAATTACCTCACGTCATGAGAAGTTCATACGTGGTTGTTTTCATGTGTACATGGTTGTGATGTCAACCAAAGCCAATTACTAGGAGGATTGCATATAAAGCATAACCAAAAGACAAAGAACAAATGAAGCACAGTTTTACTGAATTTATGGTTGCATTGTCCATGGTCAGTATGGTCATTCATCACAATCGCTTTAAAAGTTCATGACAACTGCCACTAGGGGCAAATTGCCACAGCCGTTACCAGAGTTCACAGCCAGTGAAACTGCAGTTTATGTATTACGCCCCATTCATATGGGGCGTCAGCGTTAACACTTGACGGAGGGCGTTTCTGAAGCTTGGTGCTGACGCGACTGTCATAGTGACAACAGCCAATCACATTAGTCTTCTGGTGTTGCATGAATGCGATTGGCTAGCGTCTGCGCTAGGGTATTTGCATAAGGCGATCTGATTTGCCTTATGATTGGCGCTTGAAAAGTTGAAAAGTTTTCAACTTCTGCCGCGAGCAATGGACCCAACGCGATGCGACGGACCCACAATTCATTTCGCCAGCGCTTGACATCACTCCATTCAAAGTAAATGAGAGGCGTTGACACTGACGTGTGAATGGGGCGTTAGACTAACTCACTGCGGTTTACAAACATTAGGAAAAACTATTGGCTTGTATGGTTCCCTCTTAACTTTGATCCCAGCTTTTGAACTATGACATTGATTATTATTTAGGCTGCTAATATATTATTATTATTATTATTTTGGCTGTTGACCTTTGAGATATTTGAGGTTTACCTCTTTTTTTCTTTTTTTATTTCACAAATGTTTTGCCTTCAGCCCCCTGCCCTTTTTTCATATAAATACTACAATGTAACCTATAAATAGGCAGAATGGAATGACACTGTCGACAAATGTGTTAGCAGCCCTCAATAAAAAAAAAAAATTTAAAAAAAAAAAAAATTATATAT